TGATGGTTTTAAGTTTTTTAGATGAAGCCCAAGAGAAGATTGCTGAGTCATACAGAACTTCCATTTTTGGTGTTTTAAGGTGAATCCAGACTGTTCTCCAAAATGGCTGCAACATTTTATAATCCCACCAGCAGTGTCATAGGTCTCCTCGCTCTGATTCCTCTTCAGATTGTTGTTGGGAATTAAAACATGTGTCATTCTCACAGGTGTGAAATGATCTGTCATTGTGGTTTTGAACTGTGTCTCCCTTATGAAAAGCAGTGATGAACATTTTTCCATGTACCTATTCACCTTCTAGATAGCCTGTTTAGTGAACTGCCCACATCTACTGTCCATTTTGTTTAGGTTATTGTTAAATTGGGGTATTGGGATGGGTATTAGCACCTTGTCAGTTGTGTACATATTTTCTACTATTGCATAGGCTGTCTGTGATCTATGCATATCTTCTTTTGCTTTGTAAAGTTTAAAATATGTTGACTTCCAATTGTTTGCCCATACTTTTATTTCTCTTGCAGGAGAGAGAGTCTCCAAAAACACCTTCATCCTTCAGTCAGAAATGTATCACCATTTTCTTCTGGATATTTCATTGCTGATGGTCGTAATTAAAAAACTCTTAGTTCTTTAATTCACTTGAAATTTATTTTTGTGTATTCTATTTAAAGATTGATTTATTTATGCATACAAGAACTAGGGTGTAAGCCAGAGGTACAGTGAGAGGATTCACCAGAGACAGAGTGGGGAGCTGAACAGGTGGATTGACTAAAACACACTGCTGAGGGGAACAGTGGGCAGGACAGGAGAGATCTGCTGAGCCATGTGGGCCAGCTGCCTGGTCAGGGATCGAACTCATGCTGCAGTGGCTGCACCCCTGGAGCGAGCCACCAGGACAGCCCTTCAGGTGTCTATTTTTATGCTTGTACAATATGGCGATCACTATCTCTTTGTAACACAATTCAAAATCAGTTAATGGGTTGCCTTGTTTCCCTTCTATTTTTCTCAGGATTGCATTTCCTATGGAAGGCCATTTATGGCTCCATATAAATTCAGTCCTTTTGCTCAATTTCTTTACAGATATTGTTGGTATTGTGGTGACCATTATATTAAAGTTATGTATTTCTTCTGGTAAAATCATCATTTTGAATATATTGAGTCTCCCCATCCAAGAACATCTTTCCATCCATCTCTTTCTTTCTTACTGGTATCCTTTAATAATATTTTGTTGTTTTTCATTGTGTAAGTTCTTGATCTCCTTGGATAAGCTGATCCTTAAGTACTTGATTGCTTTAAAAGTGATTATGAAATTATTTTTAATATTTTTCTTTCTCATTCATTGTACATAAAAATGCAGCATATTTTTATATGTTGATTTTGTAAGCTGCCACTTTGCTATAGTCATTTGTTGTTTCTAATAGCTTTATGGTGGCTTCTTTAGGATTTTCTAAATACAGTGTCATATCTGCATATACTAGTTTCGTTTCTCCCCCAACTTGGTTTCCTCTTATTTCCTGTTGTTTTCTGACTATGCTAGCTCAAACCTCTAACATTAAATTAAACTGAAAAGGAGACAGTGAGAATCCTTGTATTGTTCCTGATTTTAAAGGGAACACTTTCAGTTTTTCATCATTAGATACTGGCTGTTGGTTTGCGATACATGGCCTTTATTATGTTGAGGTAGTTTTCTTCTCATTTTGTTGGGAGTTTTTATCATAAGTGGGTTTTTATCATAAGTGGTAAATCTATCAAATGTTTTCCCTACATGTACAGGTATTACCACATGACTTCTATCTTTTTTGTTGTTGATAAAGTGTATCACTGATTTGTACATATTAAACCATCCTTGCACCTCTGGGATATATCCCATTTGACATTGATGTATAATCTGTGTATTGCTGAATTTGATTTGCTAGTATTTGTTGAGAACTTTTGAATCAATATTTACCAGGGAAATCGGTCTGTAGTTTTCTTGGGTTGTCTTCATCTTGTTTTGGCATTAAGGTAATATCATTGTAAAATGCATTAGGGAACATCCCTCTTCTTGTAATTTTAGAAGTAACATGATCAAGATGAGCTTAAGGTCTATAAAGTTATGATAAAATTATCATGGCTTTGGTTTGGGAGACATTTTTAGTGCTATTTCAATTTCTATGATATGATAGGTTCATTCAACTCTCCTGCTTCTTCCTGGCTTAATCTTGTAAACTTCTGGTCTAGAAATTTATCCATTTCTTCAAGGTTATTAAGTTTATTGGCATTAATTTGAGTTCAGAGTAATCTCTTATAATCCTTTGTATTTCTGTGTTACTTGTGGCAATTTCACCTTTCTTTTCTATTTATTAGTGTTTTCTCTTTTTGTTACCCTAGCTAAAAGCTTATCAATTTTATCTTCTCAAAAAAATCAACTTTTCATTTCATTGATATTTTGATGTTCTTTTATATTTGTATCATTTACTTCTGCTTCTTTCTTTCCTTTCTTTTATGACCTTTAGGTCTGGTTTGTTCCTCTTTTTCAAGTTGCTTTAGTTAGTCCATGAGAACACACAGTATTATTTGTGCTGTTGCCAGTATCTCCTTTAGTTCTAATAATAATTGTCTTAGGTATCTTGCTGCACCATCATTTGGTGAAAAAATATATATGTATGTGTATGTATGTATGTATGTGTGTGTGTGTGTGTGTGTGTGTATACTTGTATTACTTCTTTTTGTGTTTGATCCTTAATCATAATGTAATGTTCCTCTTGCTCTTTTATTTACTCTTTTATTTTTTTAATTGGAAAGCTATTTTATCTGATAATAAGCACAGCCATTCCTGACTATCACCATTTACTGGTAGGGTTGTCTTGCAGTCTTTAAGTCTGTGCTTGGTTTTGTCGGTAAGATGGGTTTCCTGTAAACAACAGAAAGTTGGACTTTGTTTTGAAATCCATTCACTCTATAACTTTTTCTACAAGATTTATTTATTTGTGCATAAAAGAACTAGGTTGTAGACCAGAGGTACAGGGAGTGAGAGTGGGGAGCCAAACAGGAGGATCTTCTGAAATATATTGCTGAAAGGAGCAGCGGGTGAGACAGGAGAGGTCTGCTTCACCATATGTGGGTTAGCACCCTGGTCAGTGATTGAAGTCAGGCGGAAACAGTGATAGCTCACTCTGGGACTTAACCCAGAGCCAGGGAGGCCCCCACTCTATATTTTTTTAAGATTTATTTATTTATGCATACAGAACAGGAGTGCAAGCCAGAGGTTCACGGGCAGTGAGAGGATTCACCAGAGAATTCACAGAGCAGGGAGCAGAACAGCTCATTGAGGAAGTCCACTGCTGAGAGGAGCAGCGAACAGGTCAGGAGAGGTCTGCTGCACCATGTGGGTCACCTCCAGGGCCAGGGATCGAACTCACACTGCCACTCGCTTGCAGTGCTGCATCCTTACCCACTGCGCCATCAGGAAGGGCCCCAATTTGGTTATAGTATTTTTAGTTTACTAGTTGTAGCAGTCTCATATTGTTTTGGTCTTGCATTACATCATCAGTTGTTTATCTTAGTTCATGAAGCATGGCTCTACCTAAAACCTTAAACTCCTCTCTAGGCATAGTCCAGTTCACTGTATTGAGACGTCTTTTGGGTGTGTTTTGCTAGAGGATTTAAAATACATACTTCTTTCTCCTTGTTTTTACTCTTTATCAGAAGTAATAGGGAATTTCCTTTTCCTGTATTAGTAAATTGGCTTTATACTCCTCCTTTAAGAAGCTAGGTATAATCTTCGATGTTTTACCCAAAATCTTTAGGTGTATTTTACTTCATAGACTTCTGCCTTTGCACTTAATCAGAGGGCTAAGGTCCTGGTTCTGGCAAGAGGTAATGGGTAGAAGGGATCTGGGACTATAGGACACTAAAGTTTCACTTCCAAGGAGCATTAAGGTTTCAAGATTCTTACTGTGTTGTAGATAACCTGAGCTGTGTGGTAGGGATCTACAGTGACCCTCCCTAGAGGGTCAGTCAGAATTACTGGTACTAGTCTTGTTGTGCCAGCCTCAACCACTAGGCTGCATCTGAGAACTATGCAGTGCTGGGTTAGCATTATAGTTGCTGAGGCAGTGCAACAAGATAGGAATTGTTCTCTTTGCTTTGCAAGTACAGTGGTTTGCTCAGGAGTACATGCTCCAGTTATCAGGGTCTAGGTACTTAAAGTATCATAGCTTTGGGCTGTAAATAGTAGCCTATGCAGCATATACAGCAGTGCTTCCTGGGAGCTTATACAGCAGTTCTCCCTGCTGGTTCAAGTTCCAACTGTTCTAGATTGGGAGCCTCAAACAAGCTAGTAGCCTCAGTCTGCAGCCCTACTCCTAGAGAGTTCGCCGATAGTGCATCTTCCATCCCTCACACGCTCCTTTCCCAGCACAGTACCAGAACTCCAAAGCTCCCCGTGTCGGCGTGGGCAGCCGGGTCAACATCAAAAGGACGCCATACAGCCACCACCCCTCATGAGCTGTAGTGCCGATAGGGCTGCACAATTTAGTCACAATTTTTCACACCCTTTTCCGCCAGGCTGTTGCTCTGACGCAGGAGGCTGTCCTATGCTTATTTATCTTCGGGTTGTTATCTTTGCTCCACTGCAATTTGGTCACGACTCTATGGAGGTGGGGCGCCCAGCGTGGTCACACTAGCACCCCCTCTCTGGACTCTCGGTTGTGGATTAAGACATGAGAGGTCTCCTGAACACCTATCAGGTGAAACCATATCCCGACTTAGACATTTTATCCTCTTCTGAAACTCAGCCTCACCAACCACGGAGATGGAAAGCTGTCCACCCTGTCCCTCCCTGCCCGACCCAGGCGGCCCTACCTTCCTCTTTTTGTCTTTCTGGAAGTCTACGGAGGAGCTGGACCAGGTACCTGCGGGTCACGTGACGCGCGAGGCTGCCGGGGCCAGACAGGGGGCGGTGCTCGAGTAGCATGACGTCATCACGTCGCGCGGCCGTGGGGACTGGAGCCGGCACGTCCACGGTGACGGCTCCAGAGCCTCCGGGTCGGGGCGGCGGCGGCGCTTCGGCTCGTCCTGAGCCGGCTGCTAGCCCCGCGCCCCACCCCATCTCCCGGGCGGGGGACGCCCCGGCACCGATCACCCCGGTGCGGCAGGGCGGAGCGGAGGTGAGTTGCACGGAGGTGTAGCAAGCAGCCCTTTCCTCCCTACCTCTCAGCCCCCGCTTGTAACCCTGCCTCCCCACCTCCCCCCCACCCCCACGTAGGAATGGAAGAGACGCTCGGGAGAGTAGGGGAGCCGGGGGGGCCGTCTGGCGTCGAGCGCCCAACCTTTCAATAACCCCCCACCCCCGGAAACTGCTCGTCTCCACCACCCCCACTTGGAGATAAATGCCAGCTCTATTCCTGGTGTCGTCAGGGGAAGAGACCTCCTTTCTTGTTCTTCTGCCACCTGGGATTTAGCCTTTCCAGAATTTGACACCCCTTTCCCGTCCCACCCGGAGTCTTCCATAGTGGAACCCCTCTATTCGGATGTTAAAGGAAGTTCTAGAATAGAGCATCTCAGAAAGGTGAGGGTAGATTCCTGATGAGGCAGGAATCTCCTAAGGAGGACGACCGCCCTACGCTAGGGTTACTGTCATTTTTGATACTGAAAACGTAAGACCCAGTCCCAGGCTGAACCCTGTGTTAACGCTCCAGAAGATCGTCAGAGTAAATGGACCTTTATTCAGACGTTTGTTACATCTCCGGAGTTTTAAAATTAAATTGACTTAAGGAAAATCCTTGCTGAAAAACATAATCTACTTGGATGAATCACCTCCTTTTCTGTAAAATAGTTATCACACAGTTATTGGAGGAAGGGTGTTTATAGTATAATATGCTAACTATAAACAGAAGTAGCTTAAAGTTAGATTCTTGATTTGCTATTCAGATAGTATGATTGTGAGTTGTGGACTTTTGAAGGCTTTTTTTTTTTTTTTCCTTGGATCCCTTCAAAAAGTTTTGGGTTCCAAATAACAGACACTGTCGATAACCACCTCCAATTCATTCCCCACAGATTGTTCTTGGAACCAAAAAAGACGAAGAAGAAGAAAACAAATTACGGAGATAAAACTTGTCCACAGTCAAGGAAATAATAAGTTGATTTACTGACATATAATCTCTCACCGAGTTAATTGATACATGTTACTGCCACTAACTATAGCAGTAAAATTAGTAGGGGAATTTTGACAAGCTTCTAGCCTGATAGAACTGTGTTATTATAAAAAGAATTATCAAAATTGATTTGACTGATAGACAATTACTAATAATGTAGAGTAGGAAAGAGCTTCTGTAGAAGGGCTTCAGTAACTTAATCAAATAGAAGTTTGTAGATAGCTGGTTCATTATTCATTGTAGGTATTGGCCTTCATTTGAGGGCTCACTTTTTAAAAATCCAGATGCCTTTGAAAGTCATCATAATTTTTTCTTTAAAGATTTATTTATTTGTGCATACAGAACTGGGGTACAGGCCGGCGATGGAGAGGGGGAGAGGCTTCACCCGAGACAGAGGGGGGAGCAGAACAGGCAGATCGACAAAGTACACTGCTTGGGGAGCAGCGGGCGGGTCAGGAGAGGTCTGCTACACCATGTGGTCACCTGGTAGATTCCTGATGAGGCAGGAATCTCCTAAGGA